GATTTTAGAGTTCGAATTATACGAAATAAGCTGCAACTTCATTGTCTATATTAGGATCAAAATCTTCAACAAGTTTTTCATATTTAATAAGAAATTATTCAAAGTTTTTATTAAAATTATTGCTTTTGAACTGTTCCTTATACTTGTATTAGAATTCCTCATATTTCTTTTTATTATATTGAATTAATTAGCAATCTTTCTTTCTACAAACAAAGTACTTCTTTTTTATATATAATTTAAATGAATATCAATTACCTTGTTCAAAACCTTTACTTTAACTATATCCATCTCGATTGTGGTAATACTTGTAATTGATATAGAATGTTATGACTTCATTAGGGTAAGCTTGTTTCCCTATCATAATAATTGAATATAATTCCTTTAAAAGATTTAGAGTATCTTTAATAAAGCGAAAGCAAGCTAGAGAGTATATTTGTATTAGAGCGTATGTAATAATAATCTTTTAATAAAATAATTCTTCTATTCTTATTATAAAGCTAAATCCTTTATATACATAACAAAGTTTTATAATTATAAATTATTGGTATTGAAGTATTATCTTTCCTTTATTATCTAATTTTACCATTACACTCTTAAATATAATAGTTTCTTATTACTGTATAAGGTTATACTTGTATTCTGGGCCTTTAAATATAGATATTATTAAATTATAAATTCTAATTATTATATTAAATAAATTGTTTAGGTTTGTATGATAAAAGTTGAATATAATATCAATAAGTATAATAGAAAATACATTCTTTAATAATAATATAGATATATTAATACATTTATAATTATTAAGAAAGATCGAGAATTTATGAGAAAAATTATTATTTTGACCATCATATTTGTTGGTTTTATTATAAAGTTTTATAAGGTTGCCCAAAAGCTAATTAATATTTATAGATTTTTAAAAAGATAAAGTGTTTTAAATAATATTGGTACCTTCTGAATTGTTTCCTCCTCTACTTTCATAATATTAACCCCAATTTGGAATATTGTTTTTTCTATTTCCATTATTTCCTCCTTCCTTATTTATATTATTGTTATTATTAAATAGATTATTAATTAGTTATCTAACTCATTATTATAGGATTGTGTTATTACTAAACTAATAGGATATTTATATCTTTATTAGAGTTAATCTCGATTACTCTTGACCAAGATTTTAAAGATTAGATTAAAAATGCAATTGTAATAGTATCGGGATAGCCTCAATATTAAATTGTTAAATAGATTGAATAAATATTGATTTTGTTGGATTATAATATTCTTTTATAAATAATAAATCAATAAAAAGATTGATAATATAATCTCGAATTATCAGTATTTGCTATTATAATGGTGATTTCAATAGAAAAGGAATATATGATTTATACTTCTTGATATTTTTACTTTTATTATTATATCAATATAGATTAATACTTAATAATCCAAATATAATACTTAAAAGTTGCAGGAGTTTATTTTGATTATAAATGATTTATCTAATTGAATCTTCTACCTTAATCATTTCGAAAATAGTTAGTAATACTTTCAACCTTTTTATAATTCTTTTAAATATACTTAATAATCGAAATTGAAACCTTTTCTTTTTAAAAACATTTGCAATTTCAGAATCCAATTATTATTAGAATACTATAAATTGTACATCAATTAATACTTTATTAACTATTCGCTTCAAACAGATTATATACTTTATAATGAGTAGTTCATATGCACGGAATTCGTATTATAACTTATATAATAGTTGTATTTCAGTAAATAGAAAATGCTTTAATTTAAAGTTTTTAAAACTTGTGGTATAATCCAACCATAAGTCCTTATTATAAAAGTTGCTGAATTTATATTTATACAATTTATATTTACAAAAATCTTGTATTTCCCTTTTGTTTATACAATTAATATTAAAAGAATAATCTTTCCATTTATTCACCATTAATTTATAATCATTAGATATAATCTCTAATAAAATTAAAGATTTAATAATGGGTTTAATAAACTTAATATTATTGAGTTATTTTAAAACTGGATATTTGACATTTTCAATATAACACTCCCAAAATACAAAAGAATTTACAAATGATTCTATCATATTTGATAAATGATAAGTAAATAATAAGATATTAATTCTGTCAAAATATAATAAAGTTTAAGTTCGAAAAGTATAATACTAAGCTCAAACTGAATACTACTAATTCTTACTCTTCAATATATATTACAATAAAAAATAAAATATAAATTAAAATTAGTATAAAATTTGCTACCACATTACCGACCACTCTTATTCATATAAAAACAGATATCAAACTATATTGAAATAATATAAGAATTTACACCTTTTCAAAGAAATCTTAATCTTAATCTAAACTATACATTACTATTAAAATTAAGGTATTAGGCTTTTAATCTATGATATTACTAATTAATGTTAGTATTATTATAAGAATAATAAAGTTAACATAGTACTATGGTTCATACTGTTGTTATATTGCTTGAGGTTCTAAAAGCTAGGGCTACGAAACGTATTTGCTGTAGTATCGGAAGACGCTAGCGTCAACGCTAGCGTAGTCACATGATCCCTGTCCCAACAGAATGTATAAAAGTGGAGGTTTAATTAGTATATTGAAATGCAACTTTTGGGCTATCTTTAAAATGGTTTGGGCTTAATCTATAACTTCCTATAATATACTACAATTCTTTGAAAAAGCGGGCATTTATTCATTCAATAAGGAGGCTACTATATCTAGTATAAAATCAGAAAGAACTACTACACCATCTATATCAATGCGACTTATAAAGAATAAATTTAAGACACCATATATGTCAAAAGCTTTATATCAATTTAAATTAGAATTTCAACGAAATTAGAACCTTGAGATTGCTTCGAAGCTTTTTAAGGCTGCCTTTACTAATACAGCTAAAGCTAATATTCAATTGCATAAAGTAAAAGGTCTAGAAAAGGCTTTAAAAATGAAAAAGAAAAAAAGAATTTGTTTCAAACATTTAAACCTTATAAGAAAGAAGGCTAATAATGCTTTTTTATACTTCCCCTTTTAAATTAAAAGAGCTAGAATCTTTCAATTAGAGAAAACATTTGCTATAAAGTAGGAAAAGGAAGTTAAGATATAAGAGAAGGTTAATAAAAAAGCTAAAAAGGAAAAGAAGGTGATTGAAGCTAAAGAGAGAATAGTACAAAAAAAGATGGATTGTCAACTTATAAGAGATATTAAAGAAAAGATTAAAAGAACTTGTAAATCAATAGAATTTTCTATTAAAAGAGATTTAAAGCTTCAAAAAGGTTTATATATTATAGATCTAATATTTAAGAAAACTATAAAGCCCTTTAATATAATAATGATAAATGAATTAATAATAAAAAAAGAGGAGGGGATTATATAATGTTACAACGGATTAGTAACAGGCTGTAGAATCACTGACTTATAGGCTATAATGATATTATAGGCCTTAGTGATTCAGCTGTAGTATACCGGGGGACACTAGGCACCTAAGAGACGCCTCAGGTATGTATATAGTATTAGTTATAGGGTACCCTAGAAACCTAGAATATAGTTCCCAGGACAATAGGTCCTAAGAAAGACAGAATATAGTAAGCAAGAAGGCTTCACTAAGATTAATAATGCCTTAGAGGATTAGCCCTAGAACAAAAGGACAAGTTAGAATAATAGGAATTACAAAACAAATATCATATAATTAAAAATCGATCGACTTGTCGGTTGACTTTAGTATAAAGGTTTATATAGGGAATGAGTTTCATTACAATGTAAAGCTTTATGCTCAAGAACAATTATTAGTTTTATTACTATAATTACAAGAATTATAATTAGTTATAACCTTATTGAATTCCTATTTGAAGTTTAGTTTAAACTATTTCGAAAGAACTCTAGACACTTCCACATAACCCTAGAGGCAGCTCCCGTAATATATAATCGAAATGAGACTAATAAATCAAGATTTCTATAAGATTTAAATAAGGAAGTTTTAAATCTTCTTTTCTAATTTATTATATTTTATTATATTCTTAAACAATTTATAGCTTTATATCTTATTAAATATATTTATTATTAAATATATTTATTATTATAGAATAAGTTTAAAAACGTGTATGATATAGGGACGTGTACGATGTAGGGATATCGGTTACTAGGCATTTGAGATATCTAGTATTGGGCGTCGCTAGAACACACGGCTAATTTGATCATTACCGGCAGATTCAACTGGCGGTTTTGACAGGAAAGCCTGCCGTCAAATCTTTCTGTCTGAGCCAATATCGACCGAGCCGGAACAATGCGTTGCCCAAAGCGATGCAAAATCTACAACTCAAGCTGTCATTGACTAGATTGAGAAAAGTGCTCGATGTCAATCACTTCATATTTATCTGACGGCTACAAGTATCAGTGCAGGAGATTGAAATGTCATTGTGAGTTGTGATTCTTTGTTTTCGAGGTTTCTGAAGAAAAAGCTTACTAGAGATATTCAACTGATTCATTATGGATCACAAGCTCAATCAGCCTCACCGGGCAATCGACTTCAAACGTCAACACCATTGTCGCCCGCGCATTCACACTATTTAACAAGAAGATGATTCTCACAAAATACAGTCTATGCGATGACGAGCGTCAATAACTTATTCCATAAAAGGAGAAAACTACGTTTGAAGGTCTCATATACCTACCTACCTATCTACCTACCTACCTACCTTATCAACATGTGACCGAACATGATATCCTCCACACCTCCCAAATTTTACCGAGAAACCACCAATCGACATACATACTCCAGCACCAAACTCCGTCCTCCAAACCTCCAAACTCCCAAACCTCCAAACTTCCAAAAATCGTGCCTACAAAGATCAAACACAGAAAAAGCTCACTGGAAGAATACTCAGATCACAAGAAGCATTGACTTGGAGACTTTATAGCAATCTCTTTACACACGCTACGGCCACACTTTCTAAACTAAAATCTCATCCATATATGCATCCATCAATCTATTACACGCCGATTATTAACTCCTCATCTCCAGTATTCCACTTCGCTGGAGCATCGTCATCAGAATCCTCAATGTCTAAGCAACACCTCAATCTCGCATCTCAAACCTCAAATCTTGCACCTATCCCCGTACTCCCAACCCCTAACACCACATTCACACCCACACCATCTTCTCACTCCCATCCCCTAACACCACACCTCACTCCCATCTCATCATTCCCATCCGATATACTCCTCTCACTCCTCCTCTCCTCTACACCCATCTCCTCATCTCCCCATCTCCTCTCTATACATTTCTCCATCCCACCGTCTAGCCAAGCTCCTCCGCCATCTCGGTCCCGAGCTCGTTCCCGAACCTCCCCATCTCAATTTCATTTTTCCATCCAATTTCCAATTTCCAATCTCCAACAAAAACATCCCCCAAACCCATTCAGAGGTTTCCTCATCTCTTTAGAGACTTAGACCTTCATCTACTGTGAATATCTGTGTAGGGGTCCGCGCTAAACTATATGTGTACCTTTGGTGATTGATCTGTAATGTTGAAAGGTACACATTAGGAAAGGTGTCATTGATTTAGAATCGATTTGTAAGCAATCACTTTCACTTTCAAGCTTTATATACTATGACACTTTGCCATAGAAGAACTGTGAGAGTAGGGTACAATTTATCCTTAAAATCTATAACTATAAAATCGAGAGTAAAGCGTTTATGGAGTGTACCTATATATTAGCTATGTATATGTGATTGTGTACATATGCGTATGCGCATGTGAGCAATCGTAGTTGCGATTGAGGCCGATCCGTGACATATACGGAAGCTTTAACTCTATACTATAGGCCTTTACCACCTAGTATATAGACCTTTATAGAAGTCTACTATAAGAGTTACATTGTTAAGACGAATTTTACGACGATTAGACTAAGGGCCTGTTTAATAGTCGAATTAATTCTAGTATATATAATATTTGAAAAGTAGTATTATAAATATCATAACTTTAATATTTAATATATAATATTTAAAAACTATTGATTAAATATTAGTATTTATTACTATATAGATTTTTTATATATTATATATTAGAAAAGAGTAGCTTTTCATATATTCTAAATACTATATACTATCTTTCAAAAAAAAAATTCGAATTCGAAAAATGAAATAATAATCTTTAAATATTCGAAAAGCTAATAAACAATAAACTTATATTATCAATCTTTCACAAGATATTAATTTATTAATTTATTAATTAAATAATAAAATAATTATAATTCTTCCTTTCTTTAGCTATTAATATCATTCAAACAATTCTATTTAATTAGTTCTAACAATATCTTCAAATTCAATAATAAATTATATTATATAAAACAATTATATAATTATTCTAGAATCTTTTAATCGATTATTATTAATTATTAATAAATTTAAATAATAAATTCAAAATATTTCGAATATTATATTTAATATCACCAAACATACTTTGATTTCAAATACTATAAATACTAGTATTTCATATACTACCGGCTATTAGTAATATATGAAATACTACCGGTCAATTTTTAATTCGGCTACCAAACATCATCTAAGAGTGCCTCAACCCCCCAAAATGTCTTAAACATCTCACACCAACCCATCTAACCCTATCCAATCCATCTAAATATACCCATCAACCCATTAATAAACATAGGTATACTTATTAGAGAGATTCATAACTCCCTCATCCCTCATCCAGTCTCCGCTCCATACACCTAAATATATACACAACCCTACTCCAATCCCAGTCCCAGTCCCAGTCCCAGTATAAAAAAAATCGAAAGAAAAAAACCCCGGTAAACGAACCAGACCTGCCTAACCTAAGATATTGATATTAGCCCATCCCATCGATCCCCGTCCCCCCCCCCAAAAACGAAATCCAAAATTGATCGATAAAGTGGAAACTTTCCGTTCTTCGAATAGCTTTCTCCGTTGAGGAGTTTCTTCCCTCGAATAGCTATCTCTTTCTCCCCACTTATTATTTTGGGGTGAAGGGGAAAGAGGAAAGAATCAAACTAGGGAGGTTTTGTAATTCCTGTAATTCTTGTAACTACCTACCTACTTATCTACTATTCACTATCTACCATCTATCTTCTAAACTGAACTGGAATAGAACATCATCGACATAGGATATAAAAATAACAACAAATTCAAAAGGAAGGAAAGAAAGAAAGAAAGAAAGAAGGGAAGGATTAGGGAGCGTTTAATCGTTAATATTTTATATTTATACTCAGGGGCTTAAAGGTGAAGTTGAGGTTTATTCTGGTTCGGGTTCAGGTTTCTGGTGGAGTCTTCGAGAGGTTGGTTTACAGAATGATTGGACGAATGAATGATTTATGTTATTATGGGCGTTTTGTTTATCGTTCACTGTTTCCTACTTATTGCTGATTGATTGATATGGGGTTATGAGGAGGTACCTAGGTTTGGGTAGATAGGTAGGTAGGTAGGTCGATGGATGGATGATTCGAGGTCTACCGTGTAGAGGTTTGGTGTGCTTTGCGATTTGATGGGATCAGATGAGATGAGGAGGTAAGATGAGATGGGAAAGATGTTTTCATATATCGAGCAATTGTTGATGTGATATAGGTACTGTGGGAGTTGAATAATGATGATGATGAGAATGACAATGACAATGAGAGGTCAAGCATAGCATCCACATGATAGATACCACCACATACAAACACAAATTTAAAACACAAGTAAAGTAATAATCTCTTCAATGCAGCTTCCGCGACCATCATAAGGTAGGAGGTGGGTAAGGAATCTACAATATACACCCACGCAATATCTAGAGATGAGCTCAACCCGCTCTATCAATCGGTAGGTGGGCATGTGTCTAGCCGTGTAGGTAACATAGCCCCCGAGAAGAATTTAAAATAGAGACATCTGGGATCAAAAAGAATTAAACCAAGCAAGCCGAACGTGCCAACTGTCGCCGTGGCGAAATATTCTTCTCTCCATACGTAGATAAATATTCCAGGAAAACAAAAAGCGAACCTTCCCATTCCAATATGTTATAAACAGAGTTAAGAAAGTCATTTACATTAAAACTCCCTATACCTTCCATTCTCCCACTTGCGTCTCCAAATCCTCCATTCGTCTCGCCCACACCTTCTAGTTTTTTCTTTCTTTCTTTCTTTCTTTCTTTGTTTCTTTTTCCTCTCATGCTCACATCTTCATGTATGCACCACCATTGGCACTACCCCCAAACATCGGTTGTTGTGGTTGAGGAAACTCGGCACTATGTGGACTCATCTCCCCATTTCGCATAACCATCGTCGGACTCATGGGACCATGTTGACCAGCCTGCACCATCGGACTTCCACTAGCCATTGCGCTCGCGCTTCCACTAGGTCCGACGTATCCAGTTGCTTGGTTGTTACCCCAGCCTCCAAGTGCGTCATCTCCTTGAGTCGCATATGAGTTATTGTCGAAACTGCCAAGTCCCTTGTTGTGTAATTCCATTTGGTCTTTGTAGGCGTCTTGTTGTTGCTTTTCAATCAATTGGTTGTAGGCTTCACGCTCAAGGCGGCCATTGCGACGTTGACGGAGGAAGGTGAAAAGGAAGGCAGAAACAAGAGCGGCGACTGCGGCACCACCTCCACAGTAGACTGCGAGTTTGGTGGTCTTAGGGAGGTTGTCCCATTTGTCACCGAGGGAAAGTGTGGGGGTTTCATTTTTGGTGATAGTCTCTGCGACGGTCGAGTTACCACTTTATTGATTTATTAGCGCGCTTTTCGTAATATCACGGGAAGAAAATTGACATACCTGATAACTTTGATGGATTGCCAGTCTCCAGTTTTATCAGTCCATTGATATTCTGAACCAGTGCTGTAGTCTTGAACTGCTGCACTCTTCACGTACATCGTAAATGGAACCTTGGTAAAATCCGTCTCTCCACCAGCCCATTCAATCGTTCCAATACTGTTCCCCTTGGGATCACCACCCGACCAGATTCCCATTCGGACTGTCATTGGGGTTTGAGGGAAGTTCTTGCCATCAACCGCATCAGCATATGCGAGGGTTCGAACAAGAGTATCGTCAATCCACCATTGAACTCTCTCGGCAGTCCAATCGACGGTGTAGTTGTGAAAGTTTGATGTTGGATCGGTAGGGGTTGGGTACCAGATGGCCCGATCATAGGAAGTAGTATTTCCCTTTCCAAAATAATTGGTCTCGGCGTGAGTGGTGTTACCTCCAATGAATTCCCAATCTATTTCGTCTAGATCCTCACTTTCCAAAACGATACTTGAGACAACTCCTACTCCAGTTGCAGCCTTCATGATCACAGATACTTGGCCGAAAAAGATGTAAAACTTGGATTGAATGGTGGGCGATTGTCCTTGTTTGGCGATGGTGAATTCGGCACCATCGTCGCCATACGAAAGAGACCCAGCGGTGATGTTGAAATAATCGGTGACCGTGGATGATGTGTTGAAAACGAAAGTATGGTTTGTACCCAAAGCTGGATCATTGGGACATGTTGTATTGAGGGGATTGCAAGTAGTCCAAGTTTGAGCTTGAACGAATGGCGAGAGGATGGTTGCTCCTGCTAGGAGAACCAGGGAATGGAATTGCATTGTTTCTTTCTTGTTCTCTTCTGTGACAAATCGTATGTGTGTATGGATACTTTTTATCGTAAATGAAAGTTGTGTTGCGAGATTACTTCGTAAAGAAGGGTGATGGTGATTATTAGATCCGATTGATTTGATATCGCGAATTCAACTTTGATAATTCGATTTCTAAAGAGTGACTGCGCCGGTCAAGGCGGATGAAGGTGAATACCTAGGTGGTTGTTGAAGGAAAGCAAGGTGCAAGAACTGCACAATCGAAAGATCAAAAAGTGAGGGTGAGGGTGAGTGAGTGATACTCAAAGACTCAAAGCAAAGGTTAAAGAGATTGAGATTGGGATTGGGATGAGAGAGCAAGGGAGGAATGACATTAAAGAAAGTGGAGATTTGATCAAACGGTTACGGTGAACTCTACTTTCCTCTTTCTCTTCCTCTTCCTCTTCCTCTTCTTTGCTACTCGGATGAAGATAGAAATAGGGAATGGTTGTAAACGATCAAGATCCCAATGTAACGCAACGCCAATCAATTCGATTCAAGGGAACGTGCATGTGCGAGAGATACTTCCATTGCTTCCGTACCATAGTATTTGTAGTGGGTGTACCGATGAAATTTGGGTGAATGTGGATGAAATGTATGGTACCGTGAAGGGTGGATTGGAAGATCATGGTAGAAATTTAAATTTGAATTTCCCAAAGCGGTAGATTGTGTTTCACAATTAAGGGGAAATTCACGGAATATCAATTCTCGAGGAGGGTTTTGGAGAATTGGCATCTTGACATTTAAACGGATATCATACCTGATCTGGTGAAATCTCATTGATAAGCAAGGGGTGAGCCAATTGTATTCTAGCATGCATCCAGGGAA